TGGTCCGATTGATAGTAGGTTCGGCGAAGCGCTGCCCTTTATTTATTTATTAGGCACACAATACACATCACGAGCTAAAAAGATACACAAAAAATAACAACCATTGCGGGCTCAGTAATTATTACCAACGACATTATTAAAGCCACAAGTGTTTTATGCTTAAGTCGGTTAATGAATATTGTTTTCCTGTTCTTTTATTTTTTTTTTCGCTAGTTTGTGGTTTTATTTTCACAGAATGGTTTTTTTTTCACATTGTGGGTACTTATTTATGCGGTTCTTACGTCATCACTGACCGTAGTATGTACTGGCTAACGTGTATTCAAAATGCTCATAGTTTCCTTGTTTTTTTTTTTTTGGGATTTTATGACCTGGTAACTAAGAGCTTTAAGTCATGTCTTATTTTTATTTATATTCTTATTTTTATGAAAAATGATAGTATAGAGTGAAATTAAATAAAATTTGAGACATTAATCAACTGGGATGAAATGAAATGATATGGGATGAAATATAATCTCAGTAAAATGGTGGTCATTTGCTGAAAAATTTTCAGTGGACTTTTTGGGGGAAACTCGAGAAGTTACGTCCACCGACTGTTTCATTTTCCCACATTTGCGCACTTTCACAGTTACTAAACAGCTAATAAACCACCGCTATTACACTTTTAATTCTGAAGACATACTAAATAGACAAAATAAAACAAATGACACAACATCACTTCTCGCGTTCCCGCCAAAAAGTCTTCCCTTGTTTCGGAACACGTTTTAACCCTCTGATATGTAGGTCACCGGTGCCCTACGCGGCGCACTGAACTAATCATGTCGATTTCTGTTACTAAGGCGCCTGGATTGCCTCCTATTCTTTGTTAATGTATGTTTTTAATCTTTTAAATCTTTTAGAAATAGATTGATTCTCAGTATCGTTCGGATTCGTCTGACCTAGCGTCGAATTGATACTCCGGTCCCTTTGTAACAGAAGATGGCGAAATATCATCCAAAGAAGGATAATAAGAGGAGATGGTCACGACCCTCAGACATGAGGATTGCGCCGCGTAAGGCACCTTTGTTTTTTTTTTTCCCCTACCTATGCTGATAGACTTGAGAGGCTATTTCAGCTTCGCCCTAACGTTTGTAGGTGAGCTCGCGGGGCTCAACCGGAGAGTTGCTAACACTGACCCTAGCAAGAGCAGTGCTTCGCAGAATCTACCACCGGATCGGAAACGCGACCCACTGAGAAGATCCGGCGAGAAACTCAGTGGGCTGTGTCTATGGGTTAGTTCGCTCGTCGAGCCCTTCGTCACAAGCGACGGGTTCGACGAGGACGGTGAAAACCTACCTTTGTCAAGTTGACTTGTCTCTTAGGATAACGTTAGCTATTTTTTTTATCGAAATTTGGCATACTTATCAAGGACCGATGACAATTCAATATTTTAAACAGTTTGATCCGTTATCCTTACTAGGATAATCAGGATCCTTGGTTTTCCTGAGACTCCGAGTGTCTGCGTCAAGACCAAGAAGGGAAACTACCAGACGCGCCGATAACCTATTTCTCGGATAAGTTACAGACTGATTCAGATGAAACTTTTGAAAATTAGAAGAAAAAATTGAAAAAATTGAAATTCAACTAAAAAATTAACAATAAATAATAGTAAAACTAAAAAAATACCCTTTTATACAAAATCCAACTAAAGAAATAGAAAATAAATTTCAATAAATTTGAATTAAAAATAGTGTAAGAAAAAATGATTTTATTGTAAAAATAAGCATGTAGCAATGTATGTATGTGTGAAATATGTAAATGTGTGTAAAATAACTAAGCAAAGTTTCAAATCGATAGAAACAACGCTTTTATATCTTACGTTTGTTGTCTTCGTCAAACGCAAAAAAAAACCGCTCGTCTTTTTTTTTATTGCTTAGATGGGTGGACGAGCTCACAGCCCACCTGGTGTTAAGTGGTTACTGGAGCCCATAGACATCCACAACGTAAATGCGCCACCCACCTTGAGATACAAGTTCTAAGGTCTCAAGTATAGTTACAACGGCTGCCCCACCCTTCAAACCGAAAGGCATTACTGCTTCACGGCATAAATAGGCGGGGTGGTGGTACCCACCTGCGCGGACTCACAAGAGGTCCTACCGCCAGTAAAGGTCCTACCACCAGTAAAGGTATCATCTGATGATGCTTTCGCGATTCAACGATTCAAAACGAACTAGGTCACGAGAGCAAACGATTCGTTCCTTCATTCGTTCAGTTTTGAAACGCGAATCTTCGACTATAATCAATCGAGTCGATCACACCCGAACTAATTGATTCAATTAAATCTATATATTAATACGTGAAGCAAAAACTTTGTATCCCTTTTTACGAAAATTGCGCGGACGGAGGAGTATGAAATTTTCTACACTTATAGAGAATATAGAGAAGAAGTGCACAATGCTAATTTTTTTTAAAAATAATTCGTTGAAGATACATTAAATCGATAAAGAAAACATTACACACACTATATACCATGTATTTGACGCACACACGCATGCATACTATTTATTGTCAAACTTTTGTTCTTGACGTCTGTTGTCAAATTGAGATTAGATTGAATATTGTTTGTCGTTATTAATATTTTTTTATAGTGTAGTCTTCGCGAAATTTGTGATTATAGAAGTATAAAATACAATCATATTTAATAGTGTACAAACTTACAATTCCAATTAATTATAGTCGAATTTCGACTACTGCGGGACCTCTAGTATAACTAACTATACTTGAGACCTTAGAACTTATATCTCAAGGTGGGTGGCGCAGTTACGTTGTAGATGTCTACGGGCTCCAGTAACCACTTAACACCAGGTGGGCTGTGAGTTCGTCCACTCTTCTAACCAATAAAAAATTTTGTACAGGTAACTATGTATTTGTTTTTGTGTAATTCGGTTCCAAATGATTCTTGTTCACCTGATGGTTGCTTGGAAGAGATCGCCAATTGTACTTAATTTTTTTTGTATTTAATGTTTCGCATTGTTTTTTTTTTCTGGCGTACAATAAAGAATACTCTCTCTCTCTCACTCTCTCTCAGTTCGTAAATTCACTAAGATGGCTGACCGATGTCGATGACCTCTAACGGTCGCCATAAGAATTCGTATCAACGTCATTACGTAGCGTCTTGTGGCTGACTCAGAGGCTACTATTAGGTGTGTCAATGTTCTGTTATTGTTGAGATGACGTCATTGTTCGAGGGTTTTTTTTTAAGGGATTTTATGACCTGGTAACCGAGACCTTAAGTCATGTCTTATTTTAATTTATATTCATATTTTTATGAAAAATGATATTATGGAGTGAAATGAAATGAAGATGATTAATTTGAGACATTAATCAACTGGGATGAAATTAAATTAAATGAAATGAAATGAGATGATATGGGATGAAATATAATCTCAGCAAAATGGTGGTCATTTAGTAAGATTTTTTCAGTGGACTTTTTGGAGGATCCCGAGAAGTTACGTCCAGCGGCTTTGTTTCATTTCCAACATTTGTGCACTTTCACAGATATTAAACAGTTAATTAACCGCCGTTATTACACATTTAAACCCGAAGAAACACTAAATAGACAAAATAACTGGTGTTAGGACCTCTTGTGAGTCCGCGCGGGTAGGTACCACCGCCCTGCTTGTTTCTGCCGTGAAGCAGTAATGCGTTTCGGTTTGAAGGGTGGGGCAGCCGTTGTGACTGTACTGAGATCTTAGAACTTATATCTCAAGGTGGGTGGCGCATTTAAGTTGTAGATGTCTACGGGCTCCAGTAACCACACAGCAGATAGGCTGTGAGCTCGTCCACCCATCCAAGCAATAAAAAAAACTTGTGCGGGCTCACTTATACTCGATCAAGCCGTCGTCACGTGCAATCCTCTCGTTCGCTAGATAATACACACGAGCTTGCTAAAGCACTAAGCTAAAGTTCATTTCGTTGTTTGAATAGTTAATCGGTCAAGCTTTCGATTGAGCCGATAAAGGTTATCGACCTATTTCGCGACCAGAACAATGCCCGATATGTTTCGGAGTCTGGCGGTGGTGTATTGAAGGCGTTTTCAATGTAGAGATGTAGGGTGGACAGAGTAAGGCGCTCGGGGTGCGATTTTTTTTATTCTTTTTTTTGTTGCCTTTCTAGGCAGACGAGCTTACGGTCCACCTGATGGTAAATGGTCACCGTCGCTCACGGACGTCAGCAATGCCAGGGGCAGAGCCAAGCCAAGCCGCAGTACCAGATTGCAGTGAGACTGATTCGATTTTAACCCTTTGACTGTCGTGTAGGTCACCGGTACCCTACGCGGCGCACTGAACTAATCATGTCGTATTCTGTTACTAAAGCGTCTGGATTGCCTAACTTGGCCTTCGCTTATTGCTTAGATGGGTGGGCGTTCTACGGTTCACCTGGTCTGAAGTGGTTACCGGGGCCCATAGACACCTAAGACGTAAATGCCGCCACCCACCTCGAGATATGACTTCTAAGTGTCAGTATTATCAGTATAACGGTTGGCCCACCGTTCAAACCGAAACGCATTACTGCTTCACGGCAGAAATAGGGAGGGCGGTGGTACCTATACGCGCGGACTCACAAGATGTCCTACTACCAGTAATTACACAAATTATAATTTTTGCGGATTAGATTTTTATTACACGACGTTATTCCTTCACCGTGGAACACAATCGTGGTGAACATTTGTTAAGTGCGTATTTTATTTGAAAAATTGGTACCCGCCTGCGGGATTCGAACACCGGTGCATCGCTACACGCGAATGCACCGGACGTCTTATCCTTTAGGCCACGACGACCTTTGTTGCACGGTAATAGCTCTTGTGTGAAGTGTATTTCTTGTGATGTAAGCGTAGCCGGATTGTGCTCGATGGTCGGGTACAGAGGCTCCCAAAGTTTTGTTTAAGTGACGGTCATGCGGGAAGGGGGGGGGGATATGCAATGGAATATAGTTATATTAAAGTACCGTCGTATTAATTTCAGATCAATAGACTCGAGCTGTCGGAATGGCTGAGACGGACTCAGAGACGATCCCGAACGGCACCGGGCCCCTGTCCACCGAGGAGGAAGACGAGCGCTTGAAGCAGCGTCCGGCCGACATCGACGCCGTGAGTATTAGCTTTCGTGAGCACAGGGTCGACGGAGCATGGAAACTGAGGCTGCATTCCCCTCAGCTATAGACATCACGAGCCTTATGGTTGGATCCATCAGGATACTTATTACTGGCGGTAGGACCTCTTGTGAGTCCGCGTGGGTAGGTACCACCGCCCCGCCTATTTCTGTCGTGAAGCAGTAATGCGTTTCGGTTTGAAGGGCGGGGCAGCCGTTGTAACTATACTTGAGACCTTACGCATTTACGTCATAGATGTCTATGGGCTCCAGTAACCACTTAACACCAGGTGGGCTGTGAGCTCGTCCACCTAAATAGGCAATAAAAAAAAAAGATCTAAAAAGTCGTCCACGCCACCAGCATTCACATTTACATCAACAGTCTCTGTTCATCACCAGGTGATTGAAGTCTCAAGGTCAAAATGAAATGGAATAACCGTCTTATTACCCTCAAAAACCGGAAAATATGATTGGTTCGTGGCACATGTAGATGCTATGATGATGTATCATCGTGAGGTATCGCATTACTACCATCAGTGTGCCGTTGTATGATGGTACAAATACGAAATGGTGTTATGTTCACGTCATTACGGATCCTCCCGATCCATTAACGCTGTTTTTAGGTATCTCAAGCACCGATCACCGTCCTCGCTTGAGACGAAAGGCTCGACGAGTAAATTAACCCATAGACACTGTCCACAGAATTTCTCGCCGTATCATTTCAGTGGGTCGCGTTTCCGATCCGGTGGTAGATTCAGCGAAACACTGCTCTTACCAGGGCTACTGTTGGCAGCGTCCTCTGGTTAGAGGGCAGTGAGCTCACCTGCGGCTCAGCTCCGGTGAATCTAGAATAACCCCTCGAGGTTACAAGAATAGGTGGGGGAAAAAAAACTGAGCTCCTAATTTCAGGACGTCGCTAATACTGGCCGTAGCAAGAGTATTGCTTCGCAGAATCTACCACCGGATCGTAAACGCGACCTATTGAGAAGATCCGGCGAGAAACTCAGTGGGCTGCGTCTGAGAGGTTGTAATGTGTGGATGTGATTACAAAATGGCATCCTGTAATTATTATTTATATTTTCATTACAGGATGTCCGCGAAATGGAACGCCGGAAGCGCGTCGAAGCTCTCATGTCCTCGAAGCTGTTCCGCGAAGAATTGGAACGGGTCCTCGACCAGCAGATGCACGAGGGCGGCGACGCTCCGCTCCTGCAGAGGATCAAGGAGATGGTCGGCGGGAGACTGCACACCGGAAGCCTCAGGGTATGGTTGCGTTGTTCATATCTTTATGCTGCTGTAGAGAGAGAGAGAGAGATCAAAGAGAGAGAGAGAGAGAGAGAGAGAGAGAGAGAGAGAGAGAGACGGCTAATAGAAGAGAATGGAAGAGAAAAATTAGCCGTGCCGGCCCCACATAGTGGGATAAGGTGGAGGAAAGAAGAAGATGCGTGAACAAGCTCATGACCTGTAGACTGAGATATGAAGTTTTAATAGCATGATGCAATGTTCGCGTCACTCTTCAAATTATCTATCCGATGAGCTACATTGAGCTTTTGGTTGGTTCAATCCCGACATGTCTCGTAGGTGAAGACAGCGCCTTGTAAAAGCGCGGTTCGTTGATCCCACGCGTCATCTGATTTTTTTTTTATTTTTTTTTATTGTCCTTGTAGGCAGACGAGCATACGGCCCACCTGATGGTGAGTGGTTACCGTCGCCCATGGACTTCAGCAATGCCAGGGGCAGAGCCAAGCCGCTGCCTACCGTTAATTTAATGATGATTTATATATATATATATATATGATTTATATGATAATAATGATTTGCGAGTACATTGCGGTTTTTTTATTGGCCTTGTTAGCGCCCACCTGATGGTGAGCGGTTACCGTCGTCCATGGAAACCCGTAACGCCAGGCTCAGAGCCAATCTGCTGCCTACCTACCATTAAGTACTCTCCACAAGCCTCGTTTGAAGACTTAGCGGTCTACTTACAAAACCTAAACCGAAGCTTATCAGGTTTTAATATCATACTAGTGGTCCCACGGTATTCAAAATTCGACTATAATTAATTGAAATCATAAGTTTGTACACTATTATGATTCTATTGTCCAAAGACTATAATCACCAAAATGATATCGTCAAGATTACACTTTAGATAAAAATATTATAAAGACAAACAATATTTAATCTATTCTCAATTTGATCACTGACTTTAAGCAATAAGAAAATATGCGTGTTGTGTGTCAAATACACGGTAGTGTGTGTAATGTTTTTTTTAAATGATTTAATGTATTTTTTGCTTAATTTAAAAAAATATATATCATAATGCACTTCTTCTCTATATTCTCTATAAGTATGGGAAATTTCATACTCCTCCGTCCGCGCAATTTTCGTAAAAAGGGATACAAAGTTTTTGCTTCACGTATTAATCACTACATAGGTAGTATAAAACAAAGTCGCTTTCTCTGTCCCTATATCTGTCTGTCCCTTTGTATGCTTAAATCTTTAAAACTACGCAACGGATTTTGATGCGGTTTTTTTTTAATAGATAGAGTGATTGAAGAGGAAGGTTTATATGTATAATAACATCCATTAAATAGTGGAGAAATCAATAATAAATGACAGTTTCCGAAGCGAAGCGAGGGCGGGTCGCTAGTAATATATCCGGTGGTAGATTCTGCGAAGCACTGCTCTTGCTAGGGTCAGTGTTAGCAACTTTCCGGTTGAGCCCCGACCTACAAACATTAGGTGAAGCTGAAATAGCCTCTCAAGGGTATCAGCATAGGTAGGGAAAAAAAAAGTAATATATATATTTGGGCGTAGTCCTATGTGGGATTAATCGGTGTACTGATATAATTTCATTGTCAGGGTCCTAGCTGCGTTCTGCCGATCAACGACATCCGAGGTATCGAAGGCATAGGCTATGAGAAGGGGGAGAAGATACTCCGCTGCAAGCTGGCCGCCGTGTACCGGCTGGTGGATTTGTTTGGTTGGACAACAAGTGAGTTTGTTTATCATAGGTATTGATTAAGGACTCCACCGTTTTTTGATCTTGAAACTTTACAGAAGACCTTAAGCCAATCTGGAAGCTTTCACACATTATGTCTCATACGTCGAGGGATGAAAAGTTCGCTAAACACGCTATTACTTATGCTTATTAATTATACTTATGTTTGTTAGTCTCGCTAAAACTCGAGAACGGCTGGACCGATTTGGGTTATTTTGGTCTTGAATTATTTGTGGAAGTCCAGAGAAGGTTTAAAAGGTAGATATATATGAAAATGCTCAGAATAAAATAAAAATAACAATTTTGTTTGATGTGTCCCCCCGTAGGACGGATTCCTTGTTTTTGTTTTAAGTTTATTTTATACAAAAGTTTAGGTCTTTTATTAATCGATTGAGGCACTACGAAGTCTGCTGGGTCAGCTAGTAATATCTATTTATGTGACCAAATTTTTTAACGTAGTATTCACAGACTTCTGCACTTTAAATTATCCTGAAATCTTTGCTAACGAGTCAAGGATACTTTGCTTTAATTTAACATCTATACATATAAATAAAATTGGTGTGTCTGTTTGTAATATTGAAATAGCCACTTTTTACTACATGCAATTGAATATATATACGGTACATACACCAAAATAACAATTTTTGTCTGTCTGTCTGTTTGTTCCGGCAAATCTCTGGAATGGCTGGACCGATTTTGATGGGACTTTCACTGATATGTAGCTGATGGTATAAGGAGTAACTTAGGCTACTTTTTTTAGACTAGCTTCGCCCCGCGGTGTCACCCGCGGTACGACAATAACCGCGGGTAACATCTCGGGACTCGGCTATCAATAATAACATTTAATGTTTCCGAAGCGAAGCGAGGGCGGGTCGCTAGTAACAAATAATATTTGATACCTATAGGTAGCTGTGCGGTGACGTAAGACCGATTTGTCCACAGCCGGAGTGACGGGGCAGATAACGGCCCGTCTGAACACGGCCGAGGAGCAGGTGCTGACGTTGCCGCGCGGTCTGCTGCCCCACGAGGTGACCGCTTCGTCCCTGGTCAAAGTGGACATGCAAGGCGTCGTCCAGGACCAGGGCACCACCAACTTTCCGGTCAACGTCGAAGGTAATGGTTCTGTAACTAGACGTGTGACTCTAGATTCGCAGTGAACCTGATGGGATGCAAGTTTGAGGGTCGATTGTGTTGGCAAAGTCGAGATCCATGACTAGTACTTGAAGATGAAGATAGATTTGATCCTCCCGATCCACTAACGGTGCTTTAGGTACCTCAAGCACCGGTCATCGTTCTCGTCGAACAAAGGGCTCGGCGAGTAAATTAATCCACAGACACAGCCCATTGAGTTTCTCGCCGGATCTTCTCAGTGGGTCGCGTTTCCGATCCGGTGGTAGATTCTGCGAAGCACGGCTCTTGTTAGGGCCAGTGTTAGCAACGTCGGCAGGTTTGAGCCCCGTGGACTCACCTACTAGTTAAGGTTAAGATGAAATAGGCTATCAGCTTAGGTAGGAAAAAAAGAAAAAAAAGCAACCCTGGTCCGTCAGGTTTCTCCGTGCACGCGTCCGTGCACGCGGCCCGTCCGGACCTGCGCTGCGTGGTGCACGTGCGCGCGCCCTCCGCTCTCGCCGTGTCCGCCACGCGGCGCGGCGTCCTGCCCCTATGCCAGGAGGCGGCCCTCCTCGGCGAGGTCGCGTACCACACTCTACCCTACGGCGTGCTGGACAACGCTGAGCGCGACAAGCTGGTCCGCGCGCTGGGCCCGCACGCCAAGGTCGTGGTGCTGAGCGGGGCTGGAGCGCTGTGCTGCGGTGCCACGCTGGAGGAGGCCTTCCTGCACGCGCGTCTGCTCACTGCCGCTACCGACGCGCAACTGAAGTTAGCAGCCACGCCGCTGGATGACCTCATCCTGCTAGACGACGAAACGCAGAGACAGGTACGTACAGCCCAGCCCCCTCCCCCCCAATCCCCCTCGCCCCTACTGTTCTAAGTATTAACGCGTCCACCTAATGGTAGGACGTCTTGTGAGTCCGCACGGGTGGGTAACACCAACCTGTCTATTTCTGCCGTGAAGCAGTAATGCGTTTTGGTTTGAAGGGTAGAGGGCAGCCGTTGTAATTACACTGAGATCTTAGAACTTATATCTCAAGATGGGCTGTGAGCTCGTCCACCTATATAAGCAATAAAAAAAACCTGGTTTACTTACTCGCTGAAGAAATGACATCGTGGGAGGAAAATCATCAGCCACGAAATCGAGATGTGTGTGTCCTATGTCCTGTCTAAAGCCATAACACCTTCCAGTCTGAAGGTTAGGCCAGCGGTGACACCATCTCCAATGACTCTGATGACTCTCCTAAACAATTAACCCTTGCTGCTCTTGGCCATGTATCTGCATCTTGCCGGTTCGTATGCGTCAGATGTACGAGGCGTCCCGCAAGCCGCCCGCCGACGCGAGCAAGTGGCGCGTGGGCGGCGAGGAGTTCGAGGCTCTGATGCGGATGCTGGACAACGCCGGCTTCCGGACCGGCTACATCTACAGGCATCCCCTCATCAAGGTGAGCGCACCACGCGGCCGCTGCCTCCCTCATCTATACTTAATACTGACGCACGGTCATTCGGTCCCAAATTGGGATTCCCTGGCTACCAGAGACTAACTAATACATACTTATGTACGTTTAAATATATACATATATAGATAATAAACGTCCAGATAAAGGGCAAAGAAAACGTTCATCTCACGAATGTTTGCCCGGCGCGAAAATCGAACCCACGACCCTCGACCCTATAGTCGGGCCGCTAATTACTATAACATTGAGTCAGTCGATTATTATTATGTACTAGCGACCCGCCCTCGCTTCGCTTCGGAATCATGATATTTTACAATTGCTAAGTCCTAAGATAGCTAAGTCCCGCGATGTTACCCGCGGTTATTGTCGTGCCGCGGGTGACGCCGCGGGGCGAAGCTAGTCTGCAAAATTGTTTTAATATTATTTGTTTATAGTGTAGTCTTGGCGAAATCTGTGATTATAGAAGTAAAGTCTTTGACAATAGATCCATAATAATGTTGAAACTTATAATTTAAATCAATAATTATTATTATAGTCAAACCGGGCCACCACTAGTTATTATTATTGCGTTTCATCCCTCAAAAAACTACCCTCAAGAGAACGCAACGAAGTTTCACTTCAAAATTTTTATTCACAACTAACTGACCCGACAGACTTCGTAGTGCCTCAATCGACAAATAAAAGACCTAAACTTTTGTATAAAATAAACTTAAAACAAACAAAAGGAATCCGTCCGACGTGGGGGACATCAAAGGAAAAACAAAATTGTTATTTTTATTGAATTCCGAGCATTTTCATATTTATCTACCTTTTAAACCTTCCACAAATAATGCTAGACCAAAATTAGCCAAATCGGTCCAGCCGTTCTCGAGTTTTAGCGAGACTAACGAACAGAAATTCATTTTTACACGCTTTATATTAGCTTCACTTGTATGTATGTTTGTTTGTTTGTAACTGACTCCTTTAGAGGCGATTTTGACCCACTCTAAACGCCCAGATTTCATTCAAACTTTGTAGATTTATCGAGGACTGATGACAATTAAATATTTAAAAAAAAAATGAATAAATTGAAATTCAACTAAAAAATAGAAAAAAAAATATATAAATTTAAATTGAAAATACTGTAAAAAATATATATTTTATTGTAAAAAAAGCGTGGTGTTATTACTTATATTTTTCTGACAGATATGAGCAGAAGAATTATTATTTCAATAATATCTTTAAAAAAAAGCACCCACGCTTTTTTTACTATAAAATATACATATATATTTTTACGCTATTTTCAATTTAAATTTATCAATTTTTTTTTTTAATTTTTTTGTTGAATTTTATATTAAGTGTGTTTTTTAGTTTTTTTTAAACTATTATTTATTTTTAATTTTTTTAGTTGAATTTCAATTTTTTATATACATATATAAATATATAATTTGTCAGATCTAATATCAAGTTAACTCTGTGCTCCACAGAACGACGTGCCGAGACCCAAGAATGACGTGGAAGTTCCACCAGCCGTGTCGTCCCTCGGCTATCTGCTCGAAGAGGAGGAGCTGTACAAACAAGGGTGAGTGAGCGCTGCCCTGATGCAAGCATCTTACTGGTGGTAGGACCTCTTGTGAGTGCGCGCGGGTAGGTACCACCGCTTTGCCTATTTCTGCCGCGAAGCAGTAATGCGTTTCGGTTTGAAGGGCGGGACAGCCGTTGTAACTATACTGAGACCGTAGAACTCGTATCCCAATGGGCTCCAGTAACCACTTAACACCAGGTGGGCTGTGAGCTCGTCCACCCATTGTAGCAATAAAAAAAAGGCTCGGTCCTCTGCAGCACCACACTAAACCCGCGCCCTTCCTCAGGTTGTGGAAGAAAGGTCAGGGGAAGACCGGTGAGCGAACCCGCTGGCTCAACTCTCCGAACGTCTACCAGAAGGTCGAGGTTCTGGAGACTGGCACCAGCGACCCCAAGAAGATCACTAAGGTAGAATATCTGAGGGTTGAAGCCGAATAATAAGCTCCTGTTAAAATGCTTCGTTGGTAATACTGTTGAGTTAGACAACAACTTTGTCCGCTTGCAAACTTTGGGTGTCAAAATGTGGATCAGGTTTTTTTTTTAAGAAATTTTATGTCCTGGTTACTAAGACCTGTAGGTCATGTCTTATTTTAATTTATATTCTTAACTAGCTGACCCGGCAGACTTCGTAGTGCCTCAGCCGATAAATAAAATACATTAACTTTTGTATAAAATAAACTTAAAACAAAAGGAATCGGTCCGACAGGGGACACATCAAAGGAAAAACAAAATTGTTATTTTTATTTAATTCCGAGCATTTTCATACTTATCTACCATTTAAACATTCTCTGGACTTTCACAAATAATTCAAGACCAAAATTAGCCAAATCGGTCCAGCCGCTCTCGAGTTTTAGCGAGACTAACGAACAGCAATTCATTTTTATATAGAGATTTTATGAAAAATGATAATATGGAGTGAAATATAATCTAGTAAACTGCCGGTCATTTAATGAGATTTTTGCAGTGAACTTTTTGGAGAATCCCGAGAAGTTACAGCGACAGTCCCAGCGACTTTGTATCATTTTCCCACATTTGTGCACTTTCACAGCTGACACTAAACAGTTAATAAACCACCGCTATCACACATTTAATACTGAACAAACAGACTAAATAGACGAAGTGAAACAAATCATACAACTTCACCCGTCACCAAAAAGTCCCCGGATCAGTCTTTTGATTCTTGATAACCTATTAATCAATGCATAGTGTTTCACGTTATATTAATGATAATGTTAATGACACTTTGACACTTTGAAAAATAGTTTAAAATTTCACGGGCAAATTTGTTGTCTGTATGATTCACTCGACTGTATACCAACAAATTATTGTCTTTGTTTAAATTAAGAACACAAATATATAGTTTATTTTATACGTTGAGAATTAAGTGTAACAGAGTTTTATGGATACAGTACTTTTTAATTGTAGGGTTGTCGCTTTTAATATTTTTAATGTATTTTTTTTTTTATTATTATTATATTGTACAATTTTACGTTTTGTGTTAATGGCATTTAAATGACACTTTTTTGTATTTAAATATATAGTTTTAATACAGCGCATCGATTGTAATGTGTTTGATAAATCCATCAACGGCATACTTCAATTACAGAGACCGAAAAAAATCGATTCTCTAAAGTTTCATCGAATCGACAACCCTAATGTTAGTGTGGCCACGAAAAGTACTGTATTTTAGGACATTCCATGTTTTTTTTACTAACCTTTTTTTGTAATTATAAGATCAATAATACATTTATTTACGGATTTATTAACACCAGATTTACCGCACCAGTCAAAATGACTGATGTTGGTATAAATAAGTATAATAACTTGATAGATCCTGTGTTAATTTGCATAAATATTTTTATTGCATTATTATTGATAAAGCGACCTCAAATTAGGGCTTGGGTATGCGCGCTTATATTATGATGTCTCAAATAACAATGAGGTTAATATATTTTTTTTTTGTCCTCAAATTTAACATTGTTATTTTCCCCCAAACACATGTGTGCTTTAAAAATAACAATTTTAAATTAATCATTTACCTTTGCAATTAAAGATCCGTTGTGTTTGGTATCAGCATCAACAGTTCGATGTGTTTAATTGAACTTCAATTAAGTTTACTTCATACAAATAGCTAAAGAAGTTCTTTGTTATGATATTTCTTCCAAAAGTTTGAACTTTAAATGGATATCCTGTAATGTTGCAATAATATCGCTTAACTTTTCAACCCTCCATATGTATCTTAAGGTCACAGACGTGAATTATTGTTAAGAGAACAAAAACCGACCCCCCAAAAAGGGATGTTATTAAGTGAACTAATCTTTAGCAATGAGATTTATTCACGTTCAGATAGATTTGATAGTTACAAAACAAAAGATGAAGTAAATCAGTAAAATGGTGAAGAGCTTACAAATCGCACCGAGCAAAACCGACATGACCACCGCACGCGACCGCGACGCGCAATGTACCGCGTTTTACAGGCGGCGACGAACTACCCGCAAATAAAAAGAAAAAATAATAATAATAAAATAAATCTATATTAATGTGTGCATAACATTTTTGATGATAATTGCATAATAATTTATCAATTGTCAATAATGCAAATTGTTGTAAATTTCCTTTGAAAGAAAGAGACAGACATATATATATTGGTCCCGTCCTCGGGGTGGCTAAGAAAACACAAATTAGCACACATATTATTATTATTATGAATATTAGATAAAAAGGCTTGGTTTTTTTTAAATTTATTTTTAATATCAACGAAACTAATATTATATTGATTAAGGAATATTTAAATATTGGAATCGCATTAAAAATTTATTATATTATGTATTATTACAAAAAGATTATTATTAATTATTAATCTAGTTAATGATTTTATTATTGGCTTACGCTGTTTTGTCTAATTAGCGGTTTAAATAAATAAATAAATAAATAAAAACAAAAAAAGCACGAATTTTGTAAGAAAAGAACTTCAGCTTAAATGAAGTATGATCAAATAGTACCCTTCAAATGGATGGTTTATATCTCATATAAATAATGCAATATGGGTATGTACCGTTTACATTAACCCTTTCAGTGCTGAGCTTATTTTCAAATATCTTTCAGAAATTGCTAAAGGATTGCTTTGAAAAAAAAAAAAGTACGTCATAAAAACTTTAAAAAAAAATATGTACGAAAATCAAGGCTAAATAAACGGCAAAATAATTTTAAATGATTATTTGTAAATGTTACTAACTTATTAAAAAGTGTAACCTATAACTTGTAATGGAACTGGGCAATAGTCGGTATTCCGACGCTCCGCAATTTACACGCAATAATACAGAGTCGATCTATCGACGGTTCGCTTTTTTTCCTACCTATTCGCTGATAGCCTAAGAGGCTATTCCAGTTAGCCTTGAATGGGTAGGTGAGCTCACGGGCTCAACCTGAGAGGGTTTGCTAACACTAGCAAGAGCAGTTCTGCGCTGAATCTACCACCGGATCGGAATCGCGACCCACTGAGAGGACCCGGCGAGAAACTCATTGACTTGTGACTATGGGACGGTTCTCGCTCGAAGGGCTAACACATACAATCGCTTGCTCGAAGGGCTAACATATTGTAGTAATGCTCTGCTAATAACAGATGGCGCTGATTGTATGTAGATTCAAACGTGTTTTTGTTATGACTGTACCATCCATGCACTTTTGCAGTCCACTGTACTCGCTCACTATGACGTAATAAATTCGTGCTTTTTTTTTCTTTCTCCAAATATATTTATTATCGATATGTAATAATACGGCTTGTTTGTTTGTGAGATTATAAATAAAATGTAATGACGAAAAATGTTTTAACTCTTTCACTCGCCGCCGGGTGAAATGCTATTGACGTTTTTTTTTTTTTGTTTATATATATAAAAAATTTTTTTGTCCGTTTGTGTGTGTGTGTGTGTGCGCGTGTAACTAATACAATAATGTTTTTCAGTGGGTGGACGTTAACAACGAAGAGGTAATATTATAATGAGTAGTTTTTTTTTTTATCTATTACATGTAATTTTTTTTTTTTTTTTTCGAAGATGCGGTCTTGTAATTTTTCTATTTCGATTTAGTGTCAGATTTTTTTATTATTCGTGGTTATTGGTTTTTTTGTGTGGTGTCGAAGTGGTCAAAGCAAATTGCGTTTAAAGGGGGAGTGTAGTATATCGAGAAACGAATATCGGTGCTTATCTTATCTTATCTTCTTATGACGTCACAATTGTTTACTAGTGCCAAAGCAAATTTTAGTGTCTGTCTTTCACGCGATCTCCGAGCGCTGCTATGTGGCTCTTTAGGCATTCTTACGTCACATCCGATGGGAAGCGGTTACCAAAGAACGTAGATATCACGATTTATTTTTTTAACTGCTAACTAATTTATAAAACTTAACAAAAATAGTAGGTAATGATAGTCAGAAACGAATTTGAAGCTTAAAGCTGTCAATCACGACAGTTTTCCGCTTAAAAGCACATATTACAAGATCGCATCCGAGCTCTAATACTTCTTCGTAATAATTCTAACATTAAAATGTACTGTATTTCTATAATGATAAACAAAAAAATAACAGTCATTAACTGAAAAAAACACACCCTGTGCATAGTTCTCGTTGAAATTAACGCGTCGACCTCAAATTCGATGAGGTTATTGGTTGAGACGCAGCATATGCGTTCGTCTTCCAAAATCGTCAGACATGTTAATGGGGAGAAACCCAATAAATCGACGCTTCAGAATCACAGTGCAACCAGTCCCAAAAAGTCCCTAGTTTTTTTTTTACTGGACGAGCTGGTGTTGGGTGGTAGCCGGAGACGATAGACATCAAGAATGTAAATTCCGACACCCAAGTATGAGTTTGGTGATACAACGGCTGCCCCACCCTTCGAACTGGACCACATTGCTGCTTCAGGAAGAAATAGGCAGGGTGGTGGTGGTAACTATCCGTGGGGACTCCAAAAGACATTCCGCTCCCAGCTAATTAATAGTTCCATTTACCGCAATGCTTAAAATCCCAAATGAAATGTTCAATAGTGTTTTGATTCGGGTCGGGCGTTTTTACAAATACTTCCTTTTCAAATTGATTTTAAATAAGATATTTCAGTTCAAAGCTGCCATTGTATGTTGAAGTATTCCGTTTTTGTTTTGTTATTGGTTAGATAGGTGGAGGAGCTCACGGCCCACTGAGTGTTAAGTGGCTATCGGAGCTCATAGACATCTACAACGTGAATGCCGCCAAACACTTCGAGACACGAGTTCTAAGGTCTCACTTTTGCAGTTACAGTAAAATTAAAAACTTTATACGTGCGCGCACTAAGTCACCTGCGTACAGGTCGATACCTAATACACACAATCAGACCGTGCAAATAGTCGATTTTCCGACGCTCCGCACTTGATACGTAATAATAATAAAAAGTTGAAAAATAATATAAACAACAAAATTTCACATTAAATAGTATGATTCTGTAAAAATAATGTTGCGAGTGATTCAGAAGCTAATTAACTATGATTTTGTATTGTAGCAATACAGTACTGGAGAATGTATTTTCGGAAGGCGAAATATTAGTCTGGGAAATTTCATGGTGCTCTAACGTCAAAAGCATTTCACTCATACCCTGGTCTACATATATATAAATAAATATATGAACATCGAGAATGTACAGTGTAGGAACGAGAAAAAAAATAGATTATTTAAAAATGTTGCCACATCACCCTTTTTTTATCATTAAAAAAAAATGTTGCATGCCTTTAAAATGCTTCAGAATTATAATTAGTATTGAACGTGATTTTTTTTGTTATTTTTGTTTTCAATTTCGTTAACGCGTCCCCACTGTACACCCTCGATGAGGCCAGAGCGAAAAAAAAATTCACTAAAAAAAAAACCTACTAATTCACGCTTCTAAAACTCGAACGCACTCACCTTAGCTTCACTGGGCTGGCAACATTTTTAACTAATCTATGTTTTTTCTGTCCCCTCCCGTCCCGCCGTGTGACGCGTCGTCACCTTACTCCGTGTAGTGGATCCAAGATGGCTCGGCTCAATCGAGTACGCCCGTTAAAATCGATACATTGCAATTCGTACCGAAAAATACGAACCCAAAGGAATTTAAGAAGCTTCAACAACAGGTGAGCGAATTTCCTTCTTTTTTTTTTGAATTCGACACTGACAATGTCGGTGTCTAATATCACTGTCGGAAACTTTAATGAAATAGTGCGTTTCACTTGTTTTTTTTTTTAGATTTAATGTCCATGGGCTTAACATGGACATTCCAACGCCCTTAGTAAAAGATTTCAAAGATCCTAATGATTTGTGTCTCTTAAAGAGCAATAGAAAATTTAGTATATTATCTTCACTTCATGTCTTATGTCTGTACTGAGAGAGGAGTCAATAAGGGAGTTCTGATCGTAGCTGGTGTGTCATGGTTCTCATGGTCAACTGCGAAACGAGGTCTGATACGCCTCGCACGTACCCCCCCAGCGGGACGGCTAAGACAGACCTAGGCATTTCTCTCAATTATTATCCCTACCTAATCGTTGGTGGCTTAAGGAGCTATTCCAACTACGTGCGGACCATTGGCTCTGTCGTTTCGAATGTCCTCTGTGAACCTTTTAACCTTTTGCACTTGAGAGGCGAGTTTCGCTCACCACATGATTCAATTACAAACAACAAAAAGAACAATACGAACAGAGATATCAAAAACATACGAAGTCGATCATCAATGAAATTAACACTAGATGATCGACCGGTTTTTTTATTTATTGATAACGCCATCTTGTTGTGTCTTTAAAGCGGCTAGTTGCCCTCAATTAAGAAAAATAGTATTATTATTCGTCAATAGATGTCGGGAAGAATTGTTTATTGAAAACACGAATAAAACAACATTTTCTGAAAAGAAATCGTAGCTAGATCGATTTATCGCCCCCGAAATCCCCTGTATACTAAATTTTATGAAAATCGTTGGAGCCGTTTCCGAGATTCAGATTATATATATAAATATATACAAAAATTGCTCGTTTAAAGGTATAATTAACAAAGCGCATTGAATTTCGCCGCATCAAATGATAGAGCGAGATTCGCCTGTAAGTCTACTTAAATGCTATTTACCGGTTTTTAACTATTAATTTGCGTGTTCAGATCAAAGAGAATCGCCGCGCGGACAAGATAAGCGCCGGTCCCCAGTCCCACATCCTCGAGGGGGTGACCTGGGACGAAGCCAGCAAGATGGTCGGCGAGGACGCCGTGAACACCCACACGGGGGACCATGTGGTGAGATGCTCTCGCTATCCCTAGGGCTGAGCCACCGGATGATTTTACTTGGATGATGTGATGTCGTCGTCTTGTTCAATGGTTACTCTTACTTGCAATACATTACTGGTGGTAGGACCTCTTGTGAGCTCCGAGTCCGAGCTGAGAGTCTGCACGGGTAGGTACCACTTCCCTGCCTATTTCTGCTGTAAAGCAGTGATGCGTTTCGGTTTGAAGTTGTTGTTCGGTTCGGTTGTAACTATGCTGAGACCCTAAAACCCATAAGTCAATTTAAAAAAATACAATCACTGCTACTGGTGTGTCGGGTCCATGGACACTGAATATATGACATATCCTTGAGCCCGCGGTCTGCACCGTCAAGTCCTACATATATCGCGCGTGCCCCCTAGGCGTGGAAGCCTAGCATGAGGTTAGGCACACAGCCAGAAAAAAAAAAGTTCCACGGACACTGACAAGCTATAGCATTATTGTATTGTCATCGATCCTCGTAAAAAGTAGCAACTACAAACTAAACATTGGGTTAAAATTAAGTAAAAAATCTAAAGAAGATTAGCTATCATTGAATGAGGCCTTAACCCGAGGAGGGGTTCTTGCAAGTGGGAAATAGTACCTAATATTATTCAACAAACATATTTATTAGTTAATTAATAGCATAGATTGATTTAATTTGTTTTTATAAGTCACTTTTATTTATTACTAGAGGCCTGCTCCGGCTCCGCTCGGGTCTTTAACAAAAATTTCAACGATATTTGACGTTGTTTTATTTTTTTTAAATTAAAGAACACTTATTGCGGCATAACTATAATAGTTAGACATATGCTGTCGCGACACGTTTTGTAAATAATAATGTGTTCTACAAAGTCGTAGTACATTATTTTATTCTATCATCAATAGTTTTCTCAGGGCACGCATGTAAAGAATATTTTATGTAATTTTTTTACATCTTGGGTTACATTATTGATGTTTTAGTAAGGCTCCCTAACTTTTTTCAAAAAAGATTATAGCCTATATCACTCGGGAATAGTGTAGCTTCCAAACAGTGAAAGAATTTTTCAAATCGGATCAGTAGTTTCGGAGCCTATTCCTTTCCTCTTTATAATATTAAGTATAAGTATAGAAAAGGCTTTTTTTTTGTATTTTTATTTATTTATTTATCATCGATCCTCTATGCGTTCGTGGATAGTCTTAATTGATCGGACTTCTCGAAGTCAGAAACAATTACGTTCTAAGATTCCGTTACATGCAAAAAGGGCCGATAAAACCGCCGCGTCCGTCAGGTGCTGATGGGAGCGGCCTCGAAGGGCATCATCCAGCGCGGCTACCAGCACAACGCGGCCGTGTACAGCGCGCCCTACGCCCGGAACCCCTTCGACCATATCACCGACAACGAGATCGACGAGTACCGGCGCGACGTCGAGCGCAAGCGGCGCGGGAACGAATGTGAGCCGCCCCCCCCAACCCCCCGCTGAGACTCCGCGGGGACGTACGGCTTGTACTGTACTTCTGACAGTGGGAATTCATGTCTCAATGTGGCGTTGTTGATGTCCATGGGCTCTGCCAATCACTTGGCACTACATGGGAGCTCGTCCACCAGTCAAAATGATCTCATAGTGCCCGGCAAATATTCTAATTGTGGTCTTCGATCTGGTGACTAAATGAGCTGCAATGTAAAATTGTATCTAATTACTTTATGTCCACGGACAACAACAGAAAATTTTACTGGTGGTAGGACGTCTTGTTAGTCCGCACGGGTAGGTACCACCGCCCTGCCTATTTCTGCCGTGAAGCAGTAATGCGTTTCGGTTTGAAGGGCGGGGCAGCCGTTGTAACTATACTGAGACCTTAGAACTTATATCTCAAGGTAGGTGGTGGCTTTTACGTTGTAGATGTCTTATGATCTCCGGTAACTACTTAACATCAGGTGGGTCGTGAGCTCGTCCGCATATGCAAAAAAAATATTTCACTAGCTTGTCAATTTTGTAATTATGGTTTGCGATCTGGTCACAACATGAGCTGGAATGTATATAATGAATTGTATATAATTATGTCCACGGACAACAGCACTAAAATCTAACGGCTAACTCTTACACTTGTATCCAATTCGACAGACGACACTGACTTGTCCGAATCGGAGGCGATCAGCGCGGCGCAGATGACGTCACCGGCCAGCGCCCCGTCCGAGACCGAAGAGGAGTCGCGCGACGGTAGGTCCCCCAACCCCCCATCAACACCCCCCCCCATTCAGCGCCGCGTCCCCCCCACTCCCCACTCAGGCCCGCGGTACTTAAGGCAATAAAAAAAAAAACATACCGTACCGCCATGCCCCTGTCAGATGAAGTTTGATCCTCGTTTAGTAGTAGTTGTATTTTTGCAACTGGAAAGGCAAAGGTCAATCGTACCATACATCCTAATTTTTTATATACTGGGTGTTAGGAGATCGCTTCCGAAAACGAAAATTTTGTACCTACAAAGTTGTAAATTTTAAGGAGCGCGCTATCAGCGCCGCGTCCGCGCGTTCGTTGACCCGAACATCAGCTGTTTTTTATTTTGTGTTTCATTGCTGGTTTATTTATTTATTTAGTAAAGTAATGTTTTTTTTTATGAAACTATCGTTTCATTTAGCTGTACTAACATGGATGGACGTTTTAAAAACATGATTTTTTTTTAAATCAGGTTCGATGTGTTTTTCGTCCCATCATCAAAGGTGTCATTAGTACTATTGTCTGTCTTCGTTTTCGGAAGCGGTCTCCGTTACAAAATATATGAAAAATGATAGTATGAAGTGAAATGAAATAAAATTGATTAATTTGGAATATTAATAAATGGGCATGAAATGAAATGAGATGATATGGGATGAAATATGATCTCAGTGAAATGGTGGTCATTTACTGAGACTTTTTCAGTGGACTTTTTGGGGGATCCCGAGAAGCTACATCCGGGCTTTGAAAGTAGTAGTAGGGTTTTTCTCGAAGAGAAAGGCAATGGAACTAAGCCATACAGCCAATTCTTAAGTTTAATATTTTCATATTTGACAACTGTGAAATGTGACATTTGTTTTTTTTTTTTTTTAATTTTGATAAAGATGTTAATGTTTTTTTTTTGTTTTCAAATGTCATTAAGAACACCGAGTTTTGAGAATAGAGACCAAGCAAGCGCCGGTCCGAAGCCAACCAGAAGTGGTCCTGAGCGATGGTAAGTGATACTTTTAATTTTTTTATTATTTAATAGTAAAAGTATAGACTGACATTTTTTAGGTTTTTTTTAAAAATAATTGTTTGATTTATATTGAATGTTCACTGATATTAGATATATTTTTCTACACACTTTTTTGTTCACGCTTAAATTTATTATTATACCTTTTTAATATTATGAATGTAATGAATGAAGTCACAAATCGTATTCTCGCATTAAAACTGTATAATCTCAAAACTTACTAATTTTACAGGAGAGTGTTTTAACGGTTTAGCATGTGATATTTTAAATATTAATAATCATCTTTGCAACATTTATTTTTTATTTTTTACCAGTTGCATTATCTGTCTTTTAAAGTAAGATAAAATTAATGTGATAATTTTGTTAATAGTAGTCAAAACAGAGATAAACAAAAAAAAAATAACTAAAACTAAACTACGCTCTTTTGACAGAATTTATGAGAAAAATACTGGTTCGATATTAACTCAATTTCGAATATTTTTGGAAATTGTACACTTTTAATGCGAAAAGACGAAATGACGTAGCCTTTGTTCGCCTCTCGCTCGCAAGATATCCGAGAGAGCGAGATAGCTATTTCTCTTGCATGTTTTCATTATGTCTCCCTGTATTCTATTATAGTTGATACAACTGATTTCTTGAACGCGGAGAGAGCCCATGTCGACAGTACTAGAGGTCAGTATTCGACGAATTCTTACACGTAACCCTATTATTGTTTATCCTTCAAAAATGACACATGTCAAAATTGACAGCTGTCAAACGTGATCAGCAAAATATCAACCTAAGTATAGTTTGATGGTTTTTCCAATTGTACTTGTGTCATTATTGAATAAAATAAAATTAAATGATAGCGGCTTAGTGGTGGTTCAGTCGAGATTAGTTCACTTGATAAAATCAATATTTTAGATGTTATGAAATAAAATTTTACATTATCATTTTTCTGTTGAAGTCTCATAGCCTTTGCTATTAAGAAGAATATATATAATAGTGGCACATCGTGCTTATAGAATTCTCAATCGTATTTTAAAAGGCTTAGAGTCGATTTTGCTTTGTGATCGATTCGTGGACTACCACTACGTCACTGGCACGTGATCCACTAACTGCTTCGTCTAAGACTTTCGTTTGATTTTAAGCTTTATATGGCCTGAAGCATGTACTAATTTCTTTTAACTTTTTCTCATATTATTTCAAAAACTAATTATCTGGTTGAAGGATTACTTAAGAGGTATTGAGGGAGGGTAGATTAGAAAAGTTTGACGGTGAATCCGATGAAAGGGGTGGTTATTCTTACGATTTGAAAGTATAATAATTAGAATGTGATTTTTGGATTTTAATTTTTTTTTTAATTTCAAGGGAACAAGGCCCTGTCAGGTCAATGAACTTTTCGGAAAAATTTGTTATACATTGAATCCTTTTATAACTAGTTTGTTCTGAATACGTCTTCATTCAAAACGTATAATATCTGAAGCTCGTATCGGCTTTACGAAGCGGTAATTTATTTTGATAGAACAAAAAGAAATGATTGAGCGAAGTGTCATATATCGAGGGTAGAAAGGCTGTGTAAGCGACATTTTTGCAACTTTACAGGAGAACCACTCAAAGTTATTATTTATAACAAAAAAACTTCTTCAGCTATTTGAATGGGGTAAACTTAATTGAAGTTCAATTAGAAACATCGAACTGTCGATGCTGATACCAAATAAAACGGACTTTTAAAATTACAAAGCGAAATGTCGGTTACACCAAACAGCCTTTCACCGTTCGATATGTTAATGGTATTTTAAGTCCCGACACGGGAGTCGAACGTACCGTACGACAGTGGGTCGCGTGTTCCAGTAGGACCGCCGCAGCGTCAGGTCGTGGTGAGGTCGTACGCGCATCCGGCCGAAGGTGAGTGTGATAGAAGAGCGAGAGTGAGAGGAAATTTTACTGGTGGTAGGAGGTCTTGTGAGTCCGTACGGGCAGGTACCATTGTCGTGCCTATTTCTGCCGTGAAGCAGTTACGCGTTTCGGTTTGAAGGATGTGGCAGCCGTTGTACTGTTAAAAGTGAGACCTTAGAACCCAAAAATACTATTAGGAACGTCCTGGGATGATCTGGTCAATGTTTTTATGAGAACTGAATGTATATATGTTCCTTGGACCTTTGCGTTTTTGTTCACGTACCTGTCGGTTATGAGACGTGATCCCCTGAGTGTTCTCCTTTCACCAGCGGTATGTCCTTCTTCAAATGTGATCGGAAGTCAAGCACTGGCTCAATTATGTCCTAAAAATCCGTCTTCCTAAAGATATCCATTCCAAGAATGAGACTCTTGGTGTTTAGTGGGTAGAGCCCAAAAAACAGCCTTGGGTCCGCATTCTGCTGCCAACATCTGCAGACTGTCAAGTCCCATAAATGCCGCGCGCCCCCTAGACGTGGACAGCTCGGATGAGGTTTGGCCTCCTCCCCATAACAAGAAGGCAATAACAACGACCCTCTTCGGTTTTTCAAGGACTTGGATAAGATTGTTTCTGCAACATTACTTGACTGAGAGAGGATTTTCATGGATGCTTTTGGCTCTTTGTACTTCTCAGATGAGACGCAGCCGGTGATATTTTTTTCTTTCGATAACTTTCTTTGGAATGGCGCATAAAGTTTGATACCTATAAATGTTATGAACGTGACATGTCTAACTAGAAAAAAGTATGCTTTGAAATTTTACGATTGGCCGCCTAAGAGCTGTGAGGACTCACAATATAAGACCAAGACCCATAAACCCATATATCTTAAGTGTTATGAGTGGTAGATTATTATCATGTGCATCGGCGTGTAAACCTATAGACCGGACCCGCGATCCGAATCTCCTGTCCGACGACGAAGTATTTCTGGACTCGACCGCGTCGACTGTGACGTCGTCGATGACGTCACCGGTCCCCCGACAGGTCGTTGTCCGGGGGACTCAGCACGCTGTCGTGCAGCGGGTGGCCGGCAGGGGTGAGTCGGTGAACTGTGATATGGTCCTCGTTTGTCGTATCCGTGCGTTTGCTATTTGAAATCAACCTTATTTTCAACGTAAGCCTTTATAATGTAAGGTTGACTTTCCTGTGGCTCCATAGTCTGGTTATTTGTACAAATGCACCAAGTGAAGGGTTGTAAGGACTACGATCATGATTGTTGGTTTGAGGGTTTTGCTTGTGGCTTGATTTTTATACAGACGATGTGATCCTTCGCACCGGGGGACTGTTAATAGTGGAACTATTGGGGGCGTTAATTAGATTGCCTAATGTTGCGGGGTTTTGTTGGGATTGACACTAGCGCAACTGGTGTCTGGACGTGTTCCAAAATTGACGTAATGTTAACGCGAATTGTGAAGGCATTGAATGTTGTAAATGAGGGTAGTTTGAAACTGAGTGTTGCTTGTTCGTTTATCGCACGAATTCATCAAACATTGGCATCAATACTTGTGAGAATAGCAATGTTATTGTCGTTGTCAATTTATAATATCCGTAATCATTCGTAATATCCGTAAAAGCAATGTGTACTATATATAAATGCATTATCATCATCTTTCATTTTGTAGATGACACGATTGAGGCATTTTCGATCTTACGATCGATCTGTCGGTATAGGTAATAGAAATATATGTATATAGTTCAATGTTGTTGACATGAAATAATTGGACAAATCGAGACACGGTTCGCCTATTGGGTTTTGAGTGGTTTTAGAGTCGGAACAGCGCCCCTAGCGGTAAACGTAGGCAAACGTTGCAACTCCATACAACTTTGAGTTTAACTATAACGCTATCGAGAACGTTAAAAAACTCGCACTTGGCACATGGAAACTAATAAACGTAAGAATAACCTCTAAGCTGTTTACCCCGCGAGGGTTCTTCCCCAACATTGTACTGTCTTCGTCGGAGGCTAAGCATAGGGATTATTTGAATCAGGGGGAATCTATAAAGAAAATATTCCATTAAGCTCCACATCTGTCCCGTCCTTTTGTCACTTTATAATATTTCACCTGTAATTCTTGCTTCTTCAAACCTTCACATTAATTTCAGGTAATGAAGATACTAACACGCTAATTGAAGCTCTCGCCTCTAATAACAGAAACCTCCACGATTATTCCCGTAGCGCTAATTTCGATAACATAATTAGGGTCTATGAAGATTCAGAGAATCGATCGAAACGCAAGCGTAATCTTAGCGAAAACTTCCGAAACGCCCACGACAGTAGTGTGTCCACTTTGCGTTCGGTCACTTCATTAGATTTAGACTCGTTAAAATCTAGGTCGTTACCCAGGAGACTTAATTCGAGCGTCTACCGGAGTCGCTCTCACAGTGGTCTGGTCAACTCTTACATTGAGAATCCAATGCCATTTCATTATCACATTCCTAAGTGTTACTCATGCGGTGCGATTAGCGTCCCGTATTCTAGGAACATGAAATTCAACAATAAGAAACTGTCAAAAGACAATTCCGTATACTATTCGACAGAAAACATAAATCAGAGTGTTGAAAAGAAAATAGACATAGTCAGAGTCAAAGAGAATGTTATCCCGGTTCACAGAGTAGCCAATTCGGAAACAGAATTCGTTGATAGTCAAGAGTTCAGTGAAGATAATTACATTACTGATGTTGGAGAGGGCTTCGCAGTTCACAATGACGTAGTTACTGACAAAGATATAGATAAGAATGTGAATAAAATGTCGGTTGATATAAGAGATGTGTCTTCGAGTTCAGAAGGCGAATACCATAGTTTTACAGACGACTTTGAGGAAGCTTATGAAAGTCCAGTTAAAAATTTAGTTAATAAAGACATTCGCGACTACGCGGTACCCATTAACTGCTATTATCCTGATTTCGCAAAGCAAAGTCCCAGGAAATCTCCCTTAAAAACTCAGAATAACATTCTAGAACCCATACTGGAAGAATCGAAGAGTTCGTATGGTGAGGAATCTAATAAATCAACGGATCGTAGTAAGAGTGATTCAGAAATTGATAAGTTCACAGAGAATAGTATAAATGATGTCTTCGATACCGCATTCATAACTAATAATAATAATAATGTTGGTAATAGTAATAATGAAAATAACCCTACGATTGTTGTGAACGTAAACAATACTGTGACAGCTTCTGGAGTTGACAAAGACAATTCAGAACAGAGTAGTAAAATGCCAACAGAAATCACCAGCTTCAATTCGACATACGAGTTTGAAAAATACGAAATGATAACGGAAATTCTCATTTCACTATTCAGTTCTATAAATTTTGATTTGATCACAAAGAACAGAGAAAAGTCCAATAGTAGTTTTGATGATAGCAAGGATGGTGTAAGTTTCTCTATAACCGAAATGGTTGAAGAATATGCAATTCAATTTGATAACACTAATATAACTGATTCGTTTGAAGATCACACCAAAGAATCTCAAATAATTGTAGAAGGCGTAATATATTATATATACAATAATGTCTTTTACGAACTCGAACAGAAAAATGGGAAATCTAGACAAACAAAAACCGTCTTCACAGTCGCGGATAGCGAAGATATAATGTACACAGCCATCAATATATTTGATAGTCAGGATATAGATTGTGAATGTAATAACGAAAATTCTATAGATAATGAAGAGAGGGATCAAGATTATAATGAGGGTAACTCTTCAAATTCAGATATAGCCAACCATAGCTATACAATA